TGGGGAATTTAAAAATTTTGAGGGAAAAAGAGTGAGTGGTGCCTTAGGATCGGGGAACAAAAAACTTTGTCCTTGGGGGCAAAGGGGGAAAATGAGAGAGAATAGTTTTACCAACGCTCTTAATGGGTGTGAAGCGTGGGTGATGAATGTTCAGCGAGGAGAAGGCGGGAGGCAGGGGAGATGTCATGTCTGAGGGCAATGTGGGGTGTGAATAAAGCAGAGAATTCTATTTTGGAAGTTAGGAGGAGGGGGGGATTCCCAAAACTGTTGTCCAGAGGGCTGAGAAGGGGTTGTTGAGGTGGTTGGGGACATTAGAAAAATTTGAGCGAAACAAAAATGACTTCAAAGTGTACATCTGTAGGGGAAGGAAGGGGGGTAGGGTCGGCCTAGGAAGGGTTTTGGAGGGGGGGGGAAAAAGGGGGTTTTGTGTCGGGGTTTTTGGATTTCCACAGGCATGCGTGAGCGTGTTTGATAGGATGAAGGAGACAAATGGTTTTTAATATTTTACGTGCTTTGGAGTTGAGCAAAGTAACATTTATAAAGGGGATTCAGGGAAACCCGGGCGGGCCCGGATTTAGTCCTGGATGGGAAGTACAGGCCCTGCACTTGAAGGAGGGGTGTTAATGTTGCATTTAAAAAACTGTAGTGAAAGCCCCCCTTCTGGCAAGACATAAAAGGAGGAATGTGGTGAAAGTTTTTCTTTTTGGGGGCCCACCCTGCCTTTGGGGGAACGGCCGTGTGATAATAAAAAAAAAAAAAATAAATATATTAGTATATATATATAATATATATTTAAATATATATATAAAATTTATATATATATATAAATTATAAATAATATTATATTATATAATGTATATAATATATGTATATATATATATTTATATATAAAAAATGTATATATATATAAATATTTTAATATAATATATATATATATATATAATTAAAATAAATATATATATAAATATAAAAAATATATGTGAATATATATAAAAATAATATATATATATATAATATTTTAAAAATATATATATAAATAAATAAATATAAAAATATTTTAATAATAATTATAATGTTGAATGTATATTTATAAATAAAAAAATATCCTAGGAGTAGTTCATAAACAGCAACCCCCCGGGGAGGTACTACTGTCCTCCAAGTGATGTACAACGAAAACCTGTAATTTTTTACTGATGGTTGGATTCTGGTGTCTTTTGTCTGCTATAAATATGCAAAATTTCGGGTACGTCTTGCTACTTCTACTAAACTTAGCACACACACATACATGAAAGCTATACAGTGGACCCCCGCATAACGATTACCTCCGAATTACCAAATTTGTATGTGATTTAGTAATGCGTTTTTACTGATTTTGGGGTCTAAATGGACTAAACTACTTCACAAAATTTTTTATGGGAACAAATTGGTCAGTACGGCACCTGAACAAAACTTTTGGGGTGAAGAAAAAATCGTTAACCGGGGGGCCCCCGATAACACACCCCTCAGGTATTCTGTATTTTCTTTCTAGTTTTTGTTTTTGTTTATTTTCCTCTTATTTTCCATGGGGGAAATGGAACAGAATTCCCTTTCCCCTGTAACCCGGGGTGTTGAAGAGGGGACTAAAATCCGGGAGCAAGGGGGTAGTACCCCTTCCCCCCCTATAAATTATAAATTTTTAAAGAAATTTTTCCTTTTTCTTTTTTTGGGCCACCCCTGGTGGATCGGCCCGTGGTTGAAAGAAAGAAAAAGATATATTATTATACATCCCTCTGGGGTTTTTTTTTTTTTTTTTTTTTTTTCTTATTTTTTTTTTTGTTCATTTCCTCTTTTTTTCCATGGCAAGGGAACAGAATTCTTCCTCCATAAGCCATGCATTCACAAGAGGCAACTAAAAGCCGGGGCAGAGGGCTAGTAAACCCCTTCTCCTGTATACAATATTAAAGTCAAAAAAAGAACTTTTTTTTTTTCTTTTTTGGGCCCCCCGCCCGGGTGGCTTGTTTAAAGATGATGATTTGTTTTTTGCCAAAATCTAGAGCGGGGAAGGCCCCCCAGCAAAACCCCCAAACTGTTTTATAGGTTTTTGTAGGTCTAAACAATTTTTGGGATCTGTAAACCAAAAGGTTAAACTTTTTTGGTTTACGTTTTATTATCTGAAAGAGTAAATCATCTGATTTTAAAGTGAATAAGAATTCAAATTAGAAAGTAAGTGTGATATAGGAGAGGGCTGGGGATGAGACTAATGAACAGAAGAAAGTCTGTTTCAGTGCCAGGACTGTCTACGTTGTTAATATGGGCTCTGTTTTTAAATATGTATTCATATTTAATTTTGTGTGTAATTGCCAAATTAACAAATTCTGATATCTCTGTAAGGTAGTTGAAGTAGTTAAATAGGTGGTTTCTTTTCTCACTTGATAGACTGGAGGCCTACTAATGAAATAGCTAAGAATGTGGTCAACTGGATCATTGGAAATAGGGCTAAAATAGGACTCAAAGTGGGTGAAATTGCCAGTGTGTAAATTGTGCAAAGAATGCTAAATTTGTGCCTGTATAATTCTGTAATCTTGTTATCAAATTTCATACTGCTTGTGTCATTACCTTTAGAAAAAATTCTCTACCATTTCAGAAGAAAAATATAAATTTTTGACAATGAGAGCAAGTTTCATATTAGGGTGTCTGGACAGAGTTAATTGATGGTCATCTGTATGCATGCATGCATGCATGCACTTGCACAGCATTTTTACATCTAGGTAAGGAGTCATTTATGACACTGTACACTGTGAATGTAAGGCCCATATTGGAGTATACAGCACCAGTATGGAACCCACATCTAGTCAAGCATGCACATCAAGAAATTAATGCGTCATAAGCTTCTCTCTTTTATGTGCGGGTTATTTGTGTATCGTTCCAGTCACGGTATTGTGCCTTTTTGTTATTTAAGAAATTAATGAAAGTGCAAAAGTTTGCAACAGCACTAGTCCCATAGCTAATGGATATGTCCTATGAGGAGAGGGTAAGGGAACTCAACCTGACAACAGGAAGGGTAGGGGGAGACATGACAATGACATAAAATACTGAGAGGAATTGGCAAGGTGGACAGGACCAAAATGTTTCAGAGAAGTGATAGAGGAGCAAGGGGTCACTGCTGGAAGTAAAAAATTCAGATGAGTCACAGGGATGTTGAGACATATTTCTTAAGTCAGAGTTTTCAGGAAGTGGTCAGCAAACTTGTTTTGGGGTATTACCCGAGAACAAATTTGTGTAGAGGAAAATTACCCACTAGACTTGAATGTCCACAGAATCTGGAAAACACAACACAAGGAACATTCAAATTAAAAAATAGTTCATTGAATCCAGTTGTATGGGGAATACAGTCATACAAGCTGAAAAGTATGTGCAGCCTCTCCTCACTTAGCTACGTATTCGTCGTACTTACGACGGGGTCTCTGACCAGTATGCACGCCTAAGTAATGTATATTAGAGCTGATTTCCTCTTTTCTGTTGATTAGAATATACAGTACACTACTGTATAAACATTTAAACCAGAAATATTATAAATGGTGCAAAGGTGACATTAAAACAATATCAAATATAGTTGACACAAAGCTACTACCATTATTATATGCTCCTCATTCAGTGACAAATTTGTTAGGAACGGTTCTCCATCGTTAAGTGAGGAGAGGCTGTATTATATGCAATAAAGCAACTTTAAAATGGTGCATTGAGGTATCTCTGAAGCATGGGTTGTAAATGCTGCAATAAGGAGGAGGCTTGAGGCAGTGGAGATGTTGTGTTAAAGGGCAATGTGTGGTGTAAATATCATGCAGAGAATTTGTAGTGTGTTAGCCAGACTTAGTCGTGGAGGTGGGGTGGAGAAGGGGTTTGGGATATTGGCTGTTTGGAGTGACATTTGTACTGTTGTATTTGTGTGCCTCTGCAAAGACAGTGATTGTGTGATGGTGAAAGTGTTTCTTTTTTTGGGTAACCCTACCTCAGTGGGAGACAGCTGACATATTGAAAAAAAAAAAAGCAACTTTAAAAATAAAACACAATATTAAAATAATAAAGTGAAAAAATAAACTGCATGAAATAAAACATAGTAACAGAAAACTTTAATTAGAATCTCATTAGGAAGCTATTTATTTTTATTTATTTATGTCTTTGCAAATAGTACATTGAGATTATATATTTACAATAATGGGTTGCAATGTAAAGAAAGCCTGAAGAAACTAAGAATTATTTGTTTGAAGAAAATTTAATAATTTTCCCTGGTTATTAAATATGTTTATCATGTTTTTCTCCTTTTCTAGGTTATTAGCTCTGAATCAGGAAAAGGCTCGCTTGAAAGCACGCAACACAGCTGCAGCTGGAGCTAGCGGCGCTGAGCAAGCAGGAGTCGATGCTTCACTTACTAGTAAGCAGATGGTTATAAAGCAACTGCAGGAGAAGGTTGAAGAACTACAGAAAGAGGTAACATTGTCCACAATATGCACCTCACTATCTGTTAATACAATCTCACTGCATTTAGGTATCCACAATATACATCTCACTATACACTCACTATCTAAGGTAGGTATCCATAATATACATCTCACTATCTGTTAATACAAACTCACTGCATTTAGGTATCCACAACATACATCTCACTATCAGTTAATACAATCTCACTTCATTTAGGTATCCACAATATACATCTCACTATCTGTTAATACAAATCTCACTGCATTTAAGCATTCATTTTAGCTAAAGAGCTAAAGAGGGGGCAAGGGGGGGGAGAGTGCATGTGTGGGTCTGTGTATGTGTATGAATGTGTGTGGATCTGTGTGTGTTGATCTATATGAGTGTGGGTTTATTGAGTGTGTGTGAAAAGTAGTGGGTGGGAGAGCATGTTAGGGTGTGTGTGTTAGAATGTGTGGTTTGTGTGTTACACATGGTCTGCTGTGCTCCTCCGACCTGACCTGAACTGACCCACGAGCCCCCTACTAGGTCTGTGTGTGTGTGTGTAAGTGTAAGAGTGTACTCGCCTAGTTGTGTGTGTGTGTGTGAGATAGTGTAAGAGTGTGTACTCACCTAATTGTGGTTGCAGGGGTCGAGACTCAGATCCTGGCCCCGCCTCTTCACTGAACGCTACTAGGTCCTCTCTCTCCCTGCTCCATGAGTTTTATCATACCTCGTCTTAGCCCGTAAACGGTCCAAGCACATCTACGTTCACATGTGTAGTGCTACAAAAGTAGGTCTACGTTTTTTTTTACATATTTTCAAATATAACAAAAAAAAAGTAGATCATAGTTTTTTATACATTTTCAAATGTAGAAAAACAAAAAGAAGATATACTTTTTTTACATACTTTGAAATGTTGAAAAAACCTATATATACGTTTGGACCGTTTACGGGTTAAAAAGCTATATGTGGTTCCTGCCTACACTACATCACTCGCCAGACTGTTCCACTTCCTGACTACTCTATGACTGAAGAAATACTTCCTAACATCCATTTGACTCATCTGAGTCTTCAACTTCCAAGTGTGACCCCTTGTTTCTGTGTCCCATCTCTGGAACATCCTGTCTCTGTCCACCTTGTCTATTCCACACAGTATTTTGTATGTCGTTATCATGTATCTCCTAAGCCTCCTGTCCTACAGTGTCATCAGGCCAATTTCCCTTAACCTTTCTTAGTTGGACATTCCCCTTAGCTCTGGAACTAACATTGTCGCAAACCTTTGCACTTTCTTTAATTTCTTAATGTGCTTGACCCGGTGTGGGTTCCAAACTGGTGCTGCATACTCCAGTATGGGCCTGACATTCACGGTGTACAGTGTCTTGAAAGATTCCTTTCTTAGGTACCGAAACGCTATTCTCAGGTTTGCCAGGCGCCCATATGCTGCAGCAATTATCTGGTTGATGTGTACTTCTGGAGACATGCTCACTGTTATACTCACCCCAAGATCTTTCTCCTTGAGCAAGGTTTGCAGTCTTTGGCCACCTAGCCTATACTCTGTCTGTGGTCTTCTTTGCCCTTCCCTGATCTTCATAACTTTACATTTGGCTGGGTTAAATTCGAGAAGACAGTTGCTGGACCAGGTTTCCAGCCTATCCAGGTCTCTTTGAAGTCCTGCCTGATCCTCATCTGATTTAATTCTCCTCATTAACTTCACATCATCTGCAAACAAGGACACTTCTGAGTCTATCCCTTCCATCATGTCATTCACATACACCAAAAATAGCACTGGTCCTAAGACCGATCCCTGAGGAACCCTGCTCGTCATGGGTGCCCACTGTGATACCTCATCACGTACCATGACTCGTTGTTGCTTCCCTGTCAGGTATTCTCTGATTCATTGAAGTGCAATTCCCGTTATACGTGCCTGATCCTCTACTTTCTGCACTAATCTCTTGTGAGGAACTGTGTCGAAGGCCTTCTTGTAGTCCAAGAAGATGCAATCAACCAACCCCTCTCTTTTGTCTCTTTCTTCTGTTACCTTATCATGAAACTCCAGAAGGTTTGTGACACAGGATTTGCCATCCATAAAATCATGCTGGTTGTCATTTATACTTTTGTCCCGCTCCAGGTGCTCTACCACTCTCCTTTTGATAATCTTCTCCATGACTTTGCTTACTGTACATGTCAGTGACACTGGTCTGTAGTTTAGCGCGTCTTTTCTGTCTCCTTTTTTAAAAATGGGAACTACATTTGCCGTCTTCCATACCTAAGGTAGTTGTCCAGTTTCAAGGGATGTGTTGAAGACTGTGGTTAATGGAACACACAGCTTTTCTGGTCCCTCTCTAAGGATCCATGGGGTGATGTTGTCCTGTCCCATTGCCTTTGAGGTATCAAGGTCACTTAGCAGCTTCTTAACCTCCTCCTCAGTTGTGTGTATGTCATCCAGCACTTGTTGGTGTATTCCCTGATGGTGTCTTCCTCTGTCCTGTCTTCCCAGAGTCCTTCCTGTCTCCACAGTGAATACTTCCTTAAATCTCTTGTTGAGCTCCTCACATACCTCATGATCGTTCGTGTGAGCTCCTCACCTTCTTTCCTCAGTCTGATCACCTGGTCTTTGACTTGTCTTTCTCCTAATGTGGCTATATAGTAGTTTCATGTCAGACTTGACTTTTGATGCTATGTTGTTTTCATACTGTCGCTGGGCCTCCTTATCTGTGCATGCTCGTTTCTGGCTCTTCGACTGACCTCCTTATTTTCCTGGGTCCTTGCCTTCTGTACCTCTTCCATTTTCTGTTACACTTAGGTTTTGCTTCCCTACACATTTGGGTAAACCAAGGACTCACTTGGGTCTTCCCATTGATTCTGTTGCCCTTGGGAACAAACCTTTCCTCTGCCTCCGTACGTTTTGTTGTTGCATATTCCATCATTTTGTTCACTGACTTTCCTACCAGCTCTGTCTTACTGAACCTCCCACAGGAAGTTCCTCATACCTGTGTAGTCTCCCCTTTTATAGTTTGGCTTTTCCCACTTGACTCATGCTACCCTCTCCACTTGCAGCAGTACTGTGTAATCAGAACTCAGAACCACGTGATCGCTAGCTCCAAGGGGCCTCTCATATGTGATGTCCTCAATGTCTGAACTGCTCAGGGTGAACACAAGGTCCAGTCTTGCTGGTTCATCCTCCCCTCTCTCTCTCGTAGTGTCCCTGTCATGTTGATGCATGAGGTTTTCCAGTACCACGTCTATCATCTTGGGTCTCCATGTGTCAGGACCCCCGTGAGGCTTCAGGTTTTTCCAGTCGATCTCCCTATGGTTGAAATCACCCATAACCAGTAACTTTGCTCTGCACGATTGGGCTCTTCTTGCCACCTCAGTCAGTGTGTCCACCATCACTCTGTTGTTCTCTTCATATTCCTCTCTTGGCCTCCTGTAGTTCTGTGGTGAGTTATACATCACTGCAATGACTACCTTATGTTCCCCAGACTTAATTGTAGCTACTATGTAGTCCCTTTCTCTAATCTCGCCCACGCCTTCCGTTTCCTCAAAACTCCAACAGTTCTTTATAAGTAGTGCAACCCCTCCTCCCCCTCTGCTCATTCAGTCTTTCCTCAGGATCTGATATCCCGGTGGGAAGACTGCCTCTGTTATTGTCTCAGTAAGTTTAGTTTCTGTGACTGCTATGATGTCTGGGGACTTCTCATTTATTCTTTCATGCCACTCCTCGTATTTACTTGATAATCCATCTGCGTTCGTGTACCACACCTTAAACTTCTTATCTATCATGGTGGCCCTGGGAAAATATTGTGGTTCGGGGAGTGGGAGCCCTGGAGGGGGCCTGTGGGGGTGTGCAGTGTGGGTGGGGTTTGTGATGGGGGGGCTGAGGGCCGAGTGCCCATTTGGAGCTGCTGTAGGGGTGGGGTTTGTGATGGGGGGGGAGGGAACAGTGTGTGGGTTTTGGCTTAGATTGTCCAGTTGCATTGGGGTTGTCGCAGTTTGGGTGGAGCTTGTGATGGGGGAGGGGAGGGGGCAGTGTGTCCATAGGGGGCTGCTGTAGAGGTGGGGTTTGTGATGTGGGGGGTGTGGGTTTTGGTTTAGATTGATCAGTTGCTTTGGGGTTGTTGTGGTTGGAGACCTTCTGCAGGTGTTTCTGCAAGGTGTGTTTGCCCTTCCACCTGAGTCCGGGTTCTGCTCATCTTCATCAATGCAGCTCGTTCTTCCTTTCGTCCTTGCACTCTCTCAGTATCATCCTTTCTCCTTGTGTTCTGTCGCGATTGAGGTACACTCTCAGTCGTGCTTTCTCCTGCAGTATCCTGGCTCGAGCTGATTCTGCCTTGAAAATTACATTGACCGGCCGTATCCTTCCATCCGGAAACCACCCAATTCTCCGAAAATTTGCCACCTGGGTCATGTCTCCCTCACCTATTGCTTTCATGATACCTTCGATTGCTGTCTTTTCCTCCTGGTTTCTTTTGTTGTAGGTTTCCCCTTCAACTTCTTGGAGCCCGTAGACAAACACTGGCATCTCCCTCTCCTCCTCCCACTGTTTCTCCCTTTGCATCCTCTGAAGTGTTTCAGTTCCTTCCATCGAAACGTTCCTGCTTTCAATCCCTGCCCTTGCTGCAGCCCCTGTGCATGGTGGATTGTCTTTCCAGCTCAGCTGTTCCTTGCCACTGTAGTTGTCTGTTGGAGTCTCTGCACATGTCATAGCTCCTTCATTGTCTACAGGCCTCTCAACTGTGCACATCGTTACCTGGATCCCTACAGTCCTCTTGTCTGTGACTGGTATAGAAGTTCCTGATGTCATGTCTGTACTGTCATTTGTCTCTCTTTTCTGTTTAAGGTGTTTTAGTTCCTCATCTAAGCACTTTATCTTATCTTCTGCTGCTAAGACTTGTAGTCCCCACTTCCTGCACTCCTCAGCTATCCTCTCCTCCATTTTCTTGCCAAGCTCTGCTAGCTTTCTTTCCCACTCTTCCTCCATTTTTTTGAGCTCTACCTCCCAATCTTTCCTCCCAGATTCTTCTCTCCCCAGGCCTAGTTGTTTGTTTGTGTGTGTGATAGTGTAAGTGTGTGTGTGATAGTGTACGAGTGTGTGTGTGTGTGTGAGATAGTGTAAGAGTGTGTATGTGTGTACTCGCCTACTTGTGGTTGCAGGGGTCGAGTCAAAGCTCCTCGCCCTGCCTCTTCACTGGTCGCTACTAGATCACTCTTCCTGCTCCATGAGGGTTATCATACCTCTTCTTAAAGCTTTCTGTGGCTCCTGCCTCCACTACATCACTTCCTAGACTATCCACTTCCTGAGAACTCTGTGACTG